TCCCAAGCAGAAAGCAAGAGGACAATGGCCACCCTCTATTGCTTGTCCATAGCACCTGGCAACTAGAAGTATACTTCCTCTGAATATGGAGGTTATAATTATCTGGCATGGCTAAGAGAGACCAATGGACTTACTGATGGCAAATACACCCCCATCTCATATGCACACACATAACCTAAATATTTAATTGGTTCACATTCATGTCTTTACTTTATTCTCTCCCCCCCCCAAAAAAAAGCCTCCATGAAAATAATACTGTATCTCAGATTTTTGTAGTACCTTCCATGATGGACTGGTTTGCAGCTCACAGTTCTTTCCGCACACATTGCCGTTATGCAGCAATGAAACTCACCTGTTGGATGAACGAAATGCCTCATGCAATAGCTGCATCATAACACACAAGCTTAATTAATTAATACATCCAGTTGAATTAATACATCCAGTTGAAATTGCAGGTCTCCTTTAAGATGGCAGAATATTTATAAAATTTTGTGTGTATAGGGTATTGGGTTCTAAGCTTCTTGTACTCATAAAAAGTACCACTTGAATAGAGCAGAACAATAATTTTATATGTACTTTAAATAACAGCACAGCTGACATCCATTAGGCTATAAGTAGCTGCTGATTCCTAAGTGACTATAACACTTCTCTGGAAGCACCTGACATTTACTTGGAGGTCTAAATGTTCAAGTACTAATGCAACCCAACGCTGCTTCACTTGCAAGTGTTTATGTTTCCAGTATTAACAACTGCGGTGCCAGGTCTAGGGTTTAAGCAGCTGCACTATCCATGCTACTGTAAAAACATTCTATATTTCCTCTTAACAACAGTTTGTACAATGACATGAAACCTGTTGTTTCAGTCTTCATGCTTCTGACGAGCCAAGGCACTTGAGGTAGCAATTTTCCCCAGGGAAACCTGCTATTTCTAAGCCAAAGAAAGGAAAGAGAATGAAAAGAAGGAGGAGGGATCAGTAAATGAGGCTCCCTGAGACTTATATGATGATTAAAATGCAGATTTATCACTGGTAAGATACCTGAACCAATGACAACTGAATACATGATTAGTTCCTACAAGCAAGTCATATCCCCTATGAATAGCTAGGCACCATTGGTCCTTACTTACACATTCTCATATAGATGTATGCTCAAATCATAAAGGTGACACACTGAAAAAGGGACAGAGAGGACGGTACCAGCCCAGGATATGTATTTTGTCCCCCGTCCCTCTCTACATGGCCAATCCCACACGCCTGTTCTTCCAAATATCAGCAATGCCTATTTGCAATAAAAGTCCAAATTTCCAAGGTAGCTCACAACTCTTTCTACCCATAGACTACTAAGTCTCAAAGACAATATGGCCTCCAGGATTAGGGGTTGAGGAGAAATTGGACTCAGTTGGTATTTAAAGGCAAACCTACCTAATCCACACTTTCTGAAACAATACATGAATACAGCCACCCCTTGAAATTCATACTTCTCCCAATTTTGCAATGCAGTTCTCCAGCCAAGTAATCTGCCACAAAATACATATACTAGGGTAAAGTGTGCATAAAAGTGTGTGTGTGTGTGTGTGTGTGTGTGTGTGTGTGTACATATGCTTTTGCTGATAGTTGGGAAAGGTTAATTCTCAATGGCTTCAAATATAAGGAGGAAATCTACAGATTTTACCTATCCAATGGCTCTAAGAACTGTAAAATCAGAAGGAAAGGGTGATGCAGCCTCCATTCTTTTAAAAGGGGGGCAATTAAGGCCAGTCATGGAGGCTTTTAGAAATTTTGAGACCCTACCACCTTTCTCTTCGACAACAGCAATCTAGTATCCTCCTTTGTGTAAGAGATAACTCGGGTAGGATTCTTTATCAGAGCCACTAGCAAATGATGGACAGCAAACAATTCTGAATGTTACCTCTGTGTGGCTGCGAAAACGAAGAAAGCACTTGGGACATCTGGGAGGAAAAACACATATAATCCAATCCAGATTAAACAATATGAGGTCGGTATGCTTAATGAATTTCTCAGATGCCATAAACTATGTTTCTCCTCTGCCAGCAGTCACACTCACAGCCAAACCTATACAACTATCACCATATGAAAGAACATCTCTTTCATCTATGCCATATGCTCTCCTCAAATCTCCTGCAGCAGTGATAATATTTGCTCAGGGTACCAAAAATCTCTGCAGACCTATACATAGTTTATCTGGGAGTAAACCCCATGGAGCTAAATGGGACATGTGTAGAATTGTGCTTTAAATCTTCCTATATAAGGGAATGTGGCCATTCCATCCCCTTTCACATTTAGATTATTACAAGCACCAGTATACTTTGACCTGCAAGGAGTTTTGGAAGGAGCAGAATCAGCATATTCAGAACCATCAAGGTAATTCAGGCACAACTTGGCAGTTAAACTGGCTGGGATCCTACTCTGTAGCTACCTTACAAATCTAGCCCTGCAAAAACCAATTTAGGAAACTATTCCTTCCGTGTATGGGATAAAGCTAGGCTGAATCAACAGAAGTATAGTGTCCTGATCAAGGGAAGTAATACTGCTGGCATCAGTCCATCTTGGGAGACAATGGAAAAGTCAAACCGCTGGAGAGTTACAGCGCCTGCTGTGGCTGAAGTGACTGATACGGGAGAGACATGTTTTGTTGCAGCTGGGGCAGAGAAAGGCATCTGGTTGTGCTGATGCAGGTGTACCATGGTGTTTCTTCTTTCTGCACTCCTCTCAGTGGTCATTCCTCCTCTGGTCACTGCTGTGGATACATGCCCTGACTGTTTCCAGATAAGTAATAGTACTGCCCTATTCTGCCTTGGCCAAACGAAACCTGGACTACTGTGTCCAGTTCCGGGCGCCACAATTTAAGAAGGATATTGACAAGGTGGAACAGTTGAGGGAATTGGGCATGTTTAGCTTGAATAAGAGGAGACTGAGAGGAATTATGATAGCCATCTTTAAATATCTAAAGGCCTGTCACATGGAAGATAGAGCAAACTTGTTTTCTCCTGCCCCAGAGGATAGGACTCAAACCAATGGCTTCAGGTTACAAGAAAGGAGATTCCGACTAAACTTCAGGAAGGACTTTCCGGCAGCAAGAGCTGTTTGACAGTGGAACAGACTTCCTCGTAAGGTGGTGGACTCTCCTTCACTGGAAGTTTTTAAGCAGAGGCTGGATAACCATCTCTCATGGATGTTTTAGTTGAAATTCTTGCATTGCAGGGAGCTAGACTAAGTAACTGTCAGTGCCCTTCCAACTCTACAAGTCTATGAAAGCATTGGGTACTGGGGAAACCAAAACCATTACTAGCTCCTAAATTACTTTAACCTTCCTTCAGATATATAGATTTTGGATTCAAAAAGGCCCTGACTTGCCAAGACAGCACTGAAGGTGGAGGAAGGTGGGTGGGCATTTCTACACCCAAGGTATTCCTTGAATACGAGTGCAGTTCACAAGCTCAAAGTAATGGGTGCACTGGTGCAGAGTGAACCTTTGTACTGAAAACTCCCCTCTGCGAGCTGCTTATGGAAGTAGGGGCAACAGGGTAACATTTATCCAAAGCACCCTACTCAGAAGACCACCTCCTCCTGACTTCATAATGTATAGTTTGACATACTGATTTAGAAGGGTTAATGCTGCCCAGCTCAAGTTGGGAGCAACAAGCTTGCTTTCCTGAGATCACTTGGTCTCTTCTAGTGGTAGTGTGGCATGTCTGAAAACACAAGTCTGCAATCTATGGTAATTCCCTTTAAGCTTCCCCACCCTTGTGCATCCACCTGCCCCAACTCCTGTGGGGTTGGTCTGTTTCTTTTCCTGCTTCCTCTGCTCATCACCCGGCTTGAGGGCTCCACCTGTCTCCCAACTTCATCATGCAAACATAGAGCAGTCTCATCCTTGAGTGGTAAATCAAGCACCATGATATCAGCACCCTGCAATTAGTACTGAACCACAGGTAGGTACTGCAATTAACAAACAACTATTGCAAATTCAGGTGTCAAAAGGGCTTAGGAGAAGATGAAAGGTAGTATATGAAAATGTTTTTGGTGGGATAATTATGGGAAAAAATGGAATGGGAGACAGTTATTATTAAATAATTTGTCTCAGAGGAGATCCTTGCTTTAAGGCTTCTGCAACTCGTGCTTTTGACGCTGCCAAGTGCAGCACCACAATTCGGTCACCTTGCCAAAGAGGCCCCTGACCAAAAAGCCTCTTCATTCATTCCCTATGCTAGATTGACAATCTGCCTCCATGGTGGTGGAAAGAACAAGTTCAAAGGGAGGGAGAGCTGAGCAGCTTGAGAAGGGGGAAAAGAGGGAGGGGGCAGAGGAGGTCAACAGCTGATCCTGCAGCTTACGTCTGCCCCAGATTTTTTCCATCCATCTCCACCATCCGCAACGAGTCTGTTTCTCTGCTTTGCCGAGCGAAAGTTGGGGGGCACAAAGGTGTGAAGGATGGGTCAAAAGCAAATTGCACATGGACAAGTAAATACATGAGAGTCTTGAAAATGCATATGGAGACTCTGAAGCACATGCAGCGGGGGCGAGATTCCGTGGTCACCGGCACGCAGGGAGGAGCAGCCCCCAATGGAGACGAGTGGGATGCTCTTTCGGAAAGGTGAGGCGGTGCTGCAGCAGACAGATGATGGTAGGCAGAGCCAGCCAGGGAAAGGTCATAACACAGAGATCCAGAAGGGGGCGCTGTGCTAGACTGTCTCCTAAACTGAGGCTCTGTGGTAAAGAAGGTAACAGTTCTTGTAGAAATTTGTGCTTTAATATATTTTGTTTTTGTTTAAAACAAAAGTTCCCACTTCCCTGAGGAAGTCCTGTCCACTATTCCCAAGGAAATGTGGCTTTCCCCCGCTTTCATTCATCCTTTTAAATAGCTTTGTCATTCTCATCTTTGCCTTTCGTTCCATTGTTTCCATCTCTTCTTTCCATTCCTTCCTCCCTCTTTCTCTTGTGGTTTGTTTTTTTTAATAATCAAGATTTGTTTTTCTTTTAGACATTATGACTTCCTCCAGGAATCCTTCCACGTTCTGAGCTGGATCCCCTTTGCGTCGTCATGCTTATCAGTCTTTGGTATGGACACTTTGGTGTGCCAGTGAGGAGGGGGAGGAAGAGGAGCAGAGGTGACCAAGTAGGAAAGGAGGAGGAAAGTCTCAGAAGACGGACGTACTCGCTTGCTATCATCTGAGCAGGACAAAAAGGAAGAAAAGTAACGGTCCACAGAGGGGAAATTTGTCTTGGGTGATGGCACCGTTTTCTGGAAGGACAACTGCTGCAGGGCAAGAAAGAAAGAAGAAGGGTTAGTTAAGGTAAGTGTTCCTGCTTTTGTAGTATAAACAACAACAATGTGATGCCACAGAAAAAGCTCATGCTCTTCAAGGCTGCATCAGCAAAAGTATAGTATCCCGATCAAGAGAAGTAACAGGACCACTCTGTTCTGCCTTAGTCAGACCACACCTGGAGTATGGTGTCCAGTTCAAGGATGTTGACAAGCTGGAATGTGTGCAGAGGGGGGCAACGGAGATGATTAAGGGTTCTAAAGAACAACTTTGGTTAACAAACATGGCAAAGGTTATGAGGATCAATAAACCATTTGCAACAACATATGGGAAATTGGTTAAGCATCGGATGATTGTGTGGCATGTTTCCCAGTTCTTGTTCCACCAGAAATCTCATCTGTGCCATTGACTCCACTTTGGAACACCGAAGTAATTCAAGTGAGGCAGGTACACACACCTTAATCAATAATGGACCCTGCTGCTATAAGCAAATATGCAAAACAGTCAAGTCAACATGCAGAATTCTCCCAACCTTTACTTTTGATTTGGGATATTCAAACACTATTCAAACACTATGCCAAATATAACCCATTACCTTTGTCTGGGACAACAGGCTTCCTTGGACAATCTCCCTTTTTTAGAGTGACGTCATCAATGGCAATATCTCCCTCTGAGCCTGTGCCACGGACACCTTCAAAGATGATCTGCAGGCAGAGCACATCAGAGATCAGAGTTGGAAAGGATCTCAGGTAGCAGGCCAGGGACCCAACCCCTTAAACTCTCACATGCCCATTTTCCGTTTGTTTTTTAAAAGGAAGAAAAACGCCCAAATTCTCTTCGGGTCATTTTGTGTTTACCATGCCCTATCCTAAACGTAGGGACCAACTGAGAATCCACTTTTAGGCTTCTCAGCAGGTTCCAATAGCAGATGACTCAGAAAATAACCAGGACATAGACAAGAGGGGAAATGGAGCAGCGCTTACGAAGATTAAATCAAATGAGCAATGTGAGAAGAGGTATGGTTTAGGAAAAGGAAGGAAGCTCATTTGTTGGTACTGAGTAATGGATCAGTGCAATCCTATGCATGTCTACTCAGAAGTAAATACCACCATGCCCAATGGTGCTTACTCCCAACAGTTACACTCTTAATAGGATTGCACACTTAATTGGAAATCAATCCAGTGACGCTTATTTCTGAGCAGACAATTATGGGATTGTGTTGTAAATGTGCTGGAGAAGCAATCACATGAGTACAACATTACATTTCAACCAGCACCTTTTTCTGTCTCGTCACATCTTTGCTATCCTTTACCTCACCCCTTAGCACGAGTCATCTTTTACTGAATGCGCCTGCCCCCAAGCTTGAACATCTTTCAGAGGCAACGTAAAACACTGCAGTTTTTTTGTGTCAGTGGTTTACAACTGGAAAGTAGTTGTAGATACTTAAGTATGCATATACTCTTGTATGTCCTCCTCATTTTAATGGGTCATCCTTGTTTCGTTATCTGCCCCAGGACTTAGGATAGGAGGTGAGTCACCAAAAGCAACTAGCTAAGGAGGGAACGAGTCAAGCTGCATCTTCCTTTGTTTGAGGCAGGATTCATGCTTGCTCTGGTGCTAAAATATCTTAAAACCCACCACTGTGAAGGCCACAACTTTCTTCCTGCCTCTGTCCTGCTTACTCTGGAATCACAGGGGGCTCCTTCATTCTTGAGGCCTGGCAGTTACAGCTTCATTAGCCCATGCCATGCGTGCTGTTCCTATGGTTACAAGGCTTTACGGGAAGCTTAGGGCAAAGGCTCAGTCGCTTCCCATTCCCTAAGGTGCAAAGCCAACCTCTGTGTTCATATCCTATTATGCAAGAGATGGCTGCAACTCAAGCCTGCCACAAGCAATGTCCATGTATTCAGAAGAAAATATTCGTCTCTGCTACGTTCCTTACCTCCCACTTGCTGCAATTTAAAGGATAAAGTCTGAAGGGATGTGTCTCTCTCTGAGATTTCACCTCCCCTTGTGTCAAGCTACACCTGCTGATATTGCCTCTCCTACACAACCATTAAAGAAAGATGCAAGAGCCCTTTCCTCTTTCACCATACTTCACAGTAAAACTATTCCTCCATCTAGCTACCTATTATGTACAAACTCAAGCTTTAGTATAGCCACTGAAAAGTCAGCTGGGAGACTGATGCAGTAGCTCAAATGCCTATGAAGGACACCTGATGCGGTCATTTGGAAGTGCCCCAGGTTCATCACCAGTTCTTGAGGGCCCAGCCAAAACCCCCAGATGAGCCAGATAGAATAAAAATAGTAATGTTGCCTTCATAAGCCTTGTGGCATATGACCAAATGACAATGTTACTGTGTGCCTAGAAATCTGGGTTCATGAGTGTTGCTATTTATGCTCCCATCACAGTCAAGTGTAAATGGTCCAGAAACATCATAACAGAAATGAGAGTCAAAGCAGCCTATGAATTAAACCAATGTATGCTGGAGCAGGCTCATAAGCAACTGAATGATAACAAATTAGTTGCCCATCCCCATTGTCATTAAGCACACAGCAATAAGCGAGCTACAAGCCATAAACAGCACACTTGCAAGTAACAAGATTATTGTTTTATGGCACCCCAAAGCATGATATGCACTTCAGAGCTAAGTAAAACAAAGCAAATACACAGACATGCATTCATAAGGAATCATTCCCTGAACAAAGAAAATAAAGATGCAGGGCATAACAATCACAATGAACTCTCCAGGAACCAACACCTGTGGGTTGCCCCTCACAAGGAGCAGCAGCAGCAGCTCAAAAAAATTAATACCCTTTCGGACCACAGGACCTATTTACAAAATTAACATCTGTTTTTTATCTATTCAACACTTACGGCTTTCCACAAATATTCCTGAGGATTGTGGTCCACCATGGGCTGCTATTAATATTCACAATTATGTGTCCCTGCCTCCTACCTGCCCCTGATCTACAGTTCCCAGGATTCCTTGGGGACGGAGAATGTCTCTTAAGCATGCAGTAAAAATATATATATCAACAAAATCACAAAACAGCAGAGCTGGAAGTTGGAGCTGCCTCTACATTGAGGGACTTAAAAGTATGCTTCCAATGTCCAGGTTGCAAGAAATAGGTTGCAATCCAAATAAGATTGAAGCACTGATAGTGAGTGGCTTCCTAGAGCAGATTGATGGATGATTGCCTGCTCTTGATAGGTTTACATTCCCTCTGAAAGAGCAGGTACGTAGCTTGGGGGTACTTTCTGAATCCATTGCACAAGTTCCTTCCATCAGCTTTGGACAGCGATAAGCTAACTACTGTTGTCTATGCTCTGGTAACCTGTACCTTTGATTACTGCAACACGTTACATGTGGGGCTGCCTTTGAAGACAGTTTGGAAACTTCAGCTGGTGCAGAACTTGGCAGTCAGGTTGCTCACCAGGGCAAGACAGTTTGAGCATATTACACCAATCCTGGCCCAACTGCACTGGCTGCCAGTTATTTTCCAGGCACAATTCAAAGTGTGAGTTTTGACCTATAAAGCCTTACGTGGCTCAAGACTGCAATACCTCAAGGACCACCTCTCTCAGTATTAACCAACCCAGAAGCTGTGATCATCACCTGAGGCCCTTCTTCATGTGCCCCCTCCATGAGAGGTCTTGGAGGGTGACAACATGAGAACGAGCCTTTTCTGTGGTGGCTCCCCTTTTGTGGAATGCTCTCCACAGAGAGGCTCACCTGACACCTTTGTTACATATCTTTAGGCACCAGGCAAAAACATCCCTCCTCCCCTAGGCCTTTAGCTCATTGAACAATCTGGCCTTTTAAACTTTGGGGTTTATTATTATTGTACATTATTGTGTTTTTATATTGTAAACTACACTGTGATCTTTGGCTAAAGGACGGTGTAGAAATTTAATAAAATATAGAATTTAATAACAAAATAAAATACTACATCAAAATAAAGAAATACACACAAAACCTTAGTTATATCCTGAGCACAAGCAAAACCAGTTGCTGAATCACCACAAGCAAATGCCATTGCTTTGCATTGCTACAGCATCCTGTCTCAATTTGGGCCAGTTACAGAGGAAAGGTGTGGGAGGGGCCTTTCCTAATCCCAACTCTAAACTTAGAGCATCATATAATTCACAAGAGAACCTTTATAAACTTGTTTGGCTCTTGAAATTAAACCTAAACGCAGTTTATCCATTATGTATCATATCTCCAGAAATAAAGCGTATATGAAATAATAAAGATACCTAGAAATGGATTAACATTCATATACGAATGTCCTACAGTTGCAAGATGACAGCTGTCCTTGTATTCACATTCACCACAAATTACAGGGCTGCGAACCTCTCCATAGTCTCAGCACGCAGCCATAGAAAACCCAGTGGTGGCTCATGAAGTGCAGCGATGGAAGCAGTAGTGTCCTCATGGCACCACCACACTCTAAGAACATACGAAGAGTCCTGCTGGATCAGGCCAATGGCCCATTCTTGTCCAGCACCCTAGAGTTGGAAGGGACCACAAAGGGTCATCGAGTCCAACCAGCAGCATGTTTTCGCCAAGCAAAGTGTTTCTTCCCATGGATCTCCACAGGAGGAAAAACTCCCCCTGCCTAAATTGCTGCATGTTAAAGTGCTTGTTAAAGACACAGGGTCAGTAAAAAAAATAAATGATGACAGCCTCTAAAAACTTGTGCAAACTAAGCAATGCTTAGAGCAAATGTGTGAGCTTACTCCTATATACCCAATTATAGATAACAAGAGTAATAATGTGCCTGGCTCAAAGGCCACAAGAAACATTCTGCTAACATGGATAGTCCCAGTGCTGGAATACACATTATATGAAATATGTAGTTGCCACCAAAAATCAGTGGTCCAGAGTTTCATCCTCCTTTCTCTCTGACAACATCCAGAAATAAAACTGAATAACATGGTATCGCTGTGCTATGCTTTAGCTGCTGCACTGCATTGTAGGGTTACCGGTAGCAGTCACACATCTCCCATAACATTTAATTCTACCCACAGTCACACATAAAAATGTAATAAGAGCCAGGGGCCACCTAGTACCGCATCCTGTTCTCACAGTGACCAACCAGATGCCTGTTAGAAACCCTTAAGCAGTATCTGAGCACAAGAGCACTCTCCTCTCCTGTGGTCTCCAGCGACTGATATTCAGAGGCAGAGCACAGCCATCAGGGCTAGTAGCTATTGATAGCCTTCTCCTCCATGAATCTCCCCAATCCTCTCTTCAAAGCCATGTAAATTGGTGGCCGCCATTGCATTCTGTGGGAGCGAGTTTTGTAGTCAAACTGCATGCTGCATAAAGAAGTATTTTCTTTTATCTGTCCAGAATCTCCCAACATTCAGCTTCACTGGATTTCTATAGTTTCTAGTGTCATGTAGGCTTGCCATACATCAGGAAAGTTCCTGACATGTCCTGGTTTCTGGGTGTAAAAATGGCGTTGGGAGAATTTTGCTGATTGGCAAAGTATCAGGGGAAACCCAGATGGGGAAAGAAGTGGAAACAGCTCCAAAAGCTTTAAATGACTATTTTTGGTTGAGTTTTTCCCAAAAAAAGCCGAACAATTTGAATTGGTTCCCCAAAAAAATCTCAACAATTTTGGTGGGTTTTTTTAAAAAGCTCAGCAATTTTGGGATCTTCCTAAAAAAAAATAATCTCAGGAGTTTTACTTCTTGAAATACTGCAACCCTAGTGTCATGGCAGAGGAATAAAAACTTTTCTCTACCCACTTTCTTCATGATATGCATAATTTTATAAACTTCCGTGTCACCTTGTATTTGGCAATAACAAGGCAGTTGGCACACAACAGCTGCTCAAGCCATGTATTAGCAGACAAACGCATAAGTATCATCACGAATTACCACAGATGGGGAATAAAGGCATGTCTGGGTCTCACAAACTGCCCTATAATTAGGAGGCCAATAGCAGATTCATTGCTCTTGACTCAAGCATCAGTTACAAGTAGTAGCCTGGTGCTAAGGATGTCAGAGAAATCTGGTTGAACAAGCAATTTTCCTTCAGTCTGCTCATTCAGCCCCCATTGCATCACAGACTCTTGCTGTGAAGGATATCTACCTTAGTTCTCCACAATTAACTTTTTTAAAAATATGCACATGTTGTTTGCTATTTACATATTCGTTACATATTCAAGCACCTCTCTGCTTTTCTTGTTTCTGAAGTATTTGTTGCCAAAGGCAGCTTATATGCACTAACGGTGTAATCCTAACTATGTCTACTCATAAGTAAATCCCATTGTGTTCAGTGATAGTCAGCTTCCTACTGTGAAATTTTAAAACCCATGGCATGCAAAGCTCAGCATATGATATGGAAATAAGTAATCTCTTTAGTCAGACTTACTTCCAAGTAGGCATGGTTAGGGTCACAGCCATAGATAGCTTTGTGATGGGCCATTAGCCACTTCATTAACTTTGTATTTAAGATGTAACAAGGCTGTTTGTTGTTTTTGCTGCAAAAGACTAACAGGGCTACTTTGCCTATGGAAGCTAATTAACTTTGAAAAGGATTGGGCAGGAAAGGTAACTGATTTGTAAATATCTGTTGATGGCTGAGACATGCTTATCTATCGTGGGTTATGTGAAAAACAACAACATTTTTCTTTATTAGCAGATGACAAGATAGATGCACAGACTTGTGCAAAATAAACCAATTGCAGCAGACTGGAAAATACCGGATGAAAGTGTGAATTAATTTTGGGACAGATTGAGGCATGTGCTTACATGGCTACCTGCTGCTCAAGCAACAATACTAACTGACCATTCATGGAGAGAAGTAGGTTGTTAATAAGCTCACGGGGCCCTTTGACTCTGGCTTCTTTTCTACAACCACAGCAACTAGGAGTAAACAAGTTTTCTGGCTATTTTGCTGCTAGCCCATCTATGTGAGTTGGCATTTGTTGCCTCGGCCCCCAAGGATCTGCTTACCTGGAAAGGTCCTGCAGGGTTGATAGGTACATGTGCTTGTTGCCAGGCATTTCCTTTGTCCCCTTTGAGTGACAAGGCTTGAGTGGGCTGCTTATTCTTCACGTGAACCAAGAGGTTTAAGGAGCCTGTAAGAGAGCGGCAACCAGACACTGAAGTCACACTGCTTCTCCACAGCAACCTCTTCCTTTCTCTTAGGGGCCATTCTATGCCTGCATCTAAACTAGGTCTTGCACGCTAGTTCTCCCAATGAATTAAATGCATCAGAACGGCAGCTATTCAAAAATCAACACATAGTTTGCCATGCCAATTCAAAAGTTTTCCTGCCCTACGGTTCGTGTTTTCCCTCAGAATACACCCCCCCCCCCGGGAACCTAGTTAATTCCCAGTCAATCTGAGTCCACTGCAGTACCAACTAGACATAATGTAGATTTGGGAACATAAGAAAAGTCCGTTACATCAGGCCAGTGGCCCATCTAGTCATGCATCCTGTTCTCACAGTGGGAAACACAGAAGTAGGACTTGGGTACGACAGCAGTCTCCCCTCTTGCAGTTTCCAGCAACTGGTAGGAAAGCTAAGCATTATTCTTCTGAATTACATGTGAACCAAACTGAAACCATTTAAAGAGGGAGAGTTGGTACATTCCATTTCCTACATGCTGGATGTGACAAATAAAAATGTGAATTTAGACTCAATTCTCCTTCTTTGTACAACCCCTTTCCTTGATGGCATCAAGCTGCGCCCAGCTAATGATGCACTAAGGCAGAGAAGGGGAGTGCCTGCCGCTCTCCAGAAATTAAAGTTCCACTCCCATCAGCCCTAGCCAGCATGGCGAGTGTTCAGGGACGAGGGGAATTGTGACCCAACAACCTCAGGGTGGGTGCGTAAGGGTGCTTCCTCATCCTAGCATTAAGGCCAGAAACAGTGCATTCCGATACATGTCTTCTGAGAAGTAAGCCTTATTGAACGCACTAGGACTTAAAGACCTGTTCATCTTGTTCTCATGGGAAATGTGCTACGATTGGCCAAAAGTCATGAGAGATGGAAAAATTCAGCAATCTCAATTTGTCAGGTAGTGAATGCATTGACTTGAGTGATCCCTGTGGCATGTTTGACTATACTGCTGTGTAGCTAAATAAGGCCGTTTTGAAAATGGACTCGCAGTTGTTGTTGGGTAATGGTTGAATGTATTGCAGCTGTTAGGTTGCGGCCTAGGATCCCCGGAGAGGCCCAGGTTCAAACTTCCACTCAAGCTCCAGAATTCACTAGGGACCTTAGTCTAGTCATCATCTGCCAGCCTAACCTGCCTCACATTCATTGTGAAGATAAGGGAGGGGAATGTGTACATGCAAGCCCATTTGAGTTCTGTGGAGAAGCAGTGGTATAAAAATACATTTATTTATGAGACACTTCTTTCAAAATATAGCTATCTGTACAAAGCAGCTTGCCAGTATAAAATAAAAACGTTTAAAAACAGACGTCAGTATTACAATTTAAATACAGTACTAAAGAAAAGGAAAGGGGGGAAGCCATACAAACCAATTAGTCTTCAGCCCTTATGTATATGACTGGGCTGCGTTTTACCCGGAAATCTGTTTTTCTCCCTCTCAAACCCCCCCCCCCATGTTTTATATGCTTTCTGACTTGCCTCAAATAAATGTTTCTCATTAATGGTTCTGGCTTGGTTCAATACAGGACCTTTGCCTCAAAAAACACAAACACCTTAACATTTGAGGTGTGTTTAGGCATTTGCACATGCAAACCCCAACCCAATATCCCCGCATCCCCTCAGTTACCAACAGGGAAGATCTTCAAGGGGTTCTACTCAGGTCTGCTTGATTGCTAGTAATTAATTAATTGCTAGTAATTAATTCCTGCTTATACCCCACCCATCTGGCCAGGCCTCCCCAGCCACTCTGGGCAGTTTCCAACAGGATATTAAAAACACAATAAAACATCAAACATTAAAAACTTCCCTAAACAGGGCTGCCTTCAGATGTCTTCTAAAAGTCAGATAGTTGTTTATTTCCTTGACATCTGGTGGGCAGGCGTTCCACAGTGCAGGCACCACTACCGAGAAGGCCCTCTGCCTAGTAGAACTGTCCACATAATTGGGGATCATTGCTCCAACACACTTTAAATCTGAAGCTATTGAGAAATAATAATGGTTAGGGAATGTGGACAGTGAGTCTGAAAATATGCATCAGACCCAGTTTACTCCTGTTTGGCAGTTTCCAGGTATTTGCTACCTAAGTGTGGGAGGCAGGGTGAGGGGTAGGCATTCTCTACCTGAGTTTTGGTAATGGCATTGCTTGCTTGTTGACCAAGGTGGTAGTATTAAAATGGATGGACCTAGTCCAGCTTCGTCCACCTCAGTACAGTACTGTGAATGAGGGAGGAAGAGAAGGTAACATACCATAATAGAGCTGCCCCTGGCTCTGTGACATTGGGGAGAAGCCTAACAAAGCCCGTCAGACTAGTTTAGTCATTTTGCATTACAGATAGGCTGACTTTTCCTTAAATGGAAAACTTGATTAAAATTAATGCTTTGAACCAGGCCTTTCTGGCTTAGAGATTTAAATCGTTCCACACTGGAACCAATTGCTGTCTCTATCAGCTAAGCAAGTGAAAGATTCGTTTGACAAGGCATTATCCACAGAGTCTCTACTTAGAACTGGCAGATAAGCAACAAGAACATGTTAGGCTGATTCCTTTCGTGATGGTGATGATGATGATGATATGGCTGGGCACTGTCTTTTCTTGGCTCCTCCCTCTGTCATAAGCTCCACATCCCAATACTGCAGGTGTTTGATTTTACCAGTGAACACCTTAAATCTATGAAAAGAGGATGTCTCTGTAGAAGGTTGTGCTACAGCAAAATCCCATTCCCAATATTTTTCGTTCTGCTGTGCTATGAAAGTAGTAACCTTTTGGCAGCTGCTATTTGCACTTGCATTTAATTTCTTGCTGCTGGGGTGGTTCACCGCAAAATAAATTGTGATGACATGGAGCAATATTTGACGGGTTCCCAGTCTCCATATGTACGTACCTTCAGTGCCATGGAGGGTGGCTCTTGCAGGTGAGGCAGGAGGGAAGGTCATTTTAAATTAGGGTTAAGAGGCAAAGACACTATTTTGGTGCTTTATTATAATGAATATATTTAAAATATTTTGAGTGGGATTCAGCTAATTAGTCCTGTCAGTGGAGTTCCACTTGTATAATGGGGTGTTCTCCACCCACCTACATGTCACCTGAATTTTGCTTTGTAGAGGGGGACCCCCAGAACAGCACACAGGAGGGTGGGGCTTGTTCCACCTGGATAGCCAATATGCTTGCGCTGATCGAATGATTGACACACCGAGACACTGAATAACTCCCCATATTACAAACATCTTTTGCAAACATTTTGTATATCTTAAAGAGATGATTTAATTGTAAGCACATATTGGATGTATTTCAATTTGGGAAATTTTAACATTTTCATTAGGCTTTTATTATTCACAGCAGCAGGTGTTTATCCTTTCTTGCACCTTTCGGCCCTCCCCTTTCCCCATCTTATTTTAAAAATCTCGACCATGCTGAGAAATGCTTTGGATGATCTCTGGTGAAGTGCTGGCTTGGAATTACACATACCATATGTCACTGTTAAATGTGGTGGCTCTTCACTGATGGCTCTTCCACTTAAATAACACCACCAGTGGATTTCTTTAACTAGTGTATGGGAAATTTACCTAAATCATCTCTATCTCTCCCCCCCCCCTTATTAGGTGTGTTAGCTATAGGAAGCAACAGAGCACACAAATAGAAAACTTTTAGGACTGGGCAAATACGGTAATCACATGGAAATTATCAAAATGAGTTGTATTCTTAAAAAGGGCGTATGCATCCCTCCACAGTTCTGGAAGAAGTCCATTTGGACACTGGACGCTGTTCTGGCTGCTTTGCTGTCAGAAGACAAGATAAACTGGAAGAAGTTCAAAGGTGTCCAGTAAAGATGATGCATGTGTTGGCTCTGGGTGGATAAGCCAGAAAGAACTGTAGAAAATTGTAGAAAAGCAAGAAATCTCTGCAAGTTGGCCAATAAATGCCAATGGTCATTGCCTAAATATATACTCCCAAGGTTATAACATTAATGAGCGAGAGCGAGAAACAGAAATAAAGATGTATAGATGTGTGTGTGTGTGTGTGTGTGTGTGTGTGTGTGTGAGAGAGAGAGAGAGAGAGAGGGAGGAAAGGAATAGTGCATAGTACAATGCCACATCTCTGATGTGTACTTGATTTGCACTGGGCGCTGCATTCATCTACACCACTGTCAGCTTTGAGCATGGCATAAATATAGGTCATGCCTGTATTTGTCAAAGACATGAGGCTGGTGCAGGATTGCTCCACATCCTGTGGTTCCTATTTAAAGATTTGAATATCTTGTCATGCTCATCTCATGCTCCTGCTTCATCAACAAGTGGAAGCACAGATTTGCAAAACAGGCAATATCCTCTTTGACTCTTGTCTATGTTACTGCTCAGATGTCAGCAATGCTGGTTTTACAAGGCCAGAATTGGTCGTGTTCCCCTGCCCCCCCCCGCATTGCTACCAAATTGTAAGTAAACCCCATCACACAGCATAGAGCAGGGTCAGCCAACTTTTTCAGCAAGGGGCCAGTCCACTGTCCCTCAGACCTTGTGAGGGGCTGGACTATTTTTTTTTTTTTGGGGGGGGGAATGAACGAATTGCTATGCCCCACAAATAACCCAGAAATGCATTTTAAATAAAAGGACACATTCTACTCATGTAAAAACACACTATTCCCAGACCGTCCGCGTGCTAGATTTAGAAGGCGATTGGGCTGGATCCGGCCCTTAGTTTGCCTACCCATGG